AACAAGAAGTCGAAAATATCACTTTTTACCAAAAATGACAAAAATATTCACCAAAATTATGAAATTAAAGATATCATCACAAAATGAACAAATCTGAGAGAGGTCTACATGTAGTACCTATATACGTAATATCAAAGCAATTGGGCTTGCGGTTTTTAACAAGAAGTCGAAAATATCACTTTTTACCAAAAATGACAAAAATATTCACCAAAATTATGAAATTAAAGATATCATCACAAAATGAATAAATCTGAGAGGTCCACATGTAGTACCTATATATGTAATATAAAAGCAATCAGACTTGCAGTTTTTAACAAGAAGTCGAAAATATCACTTTTTACCAAAAATTACAAAAATGTTCACCAAAATTAGGGAATTAAAGATATCATCACAAAATGAACAAATCTTAGAGAGGTCCACATGTAGTACCTATATATGTAATAAAAAAGCAATTGGACTTGCGTTTTTTAACAAGAAGTCGAAGATATCACTTTTTATCAAAAATGACAAAAATATTCACCAAAATTAGAGAATTGAAGATACAGTCATCATGAAATGAACAAATCTGAGAGAGGTCTACCCAAGGCACATATACACCAAGTATCAAAGCATTCAGGCTTGTAGTTTTCAAGAATAAGTCGAAAAAGTAAAACATTGACAACGGACGCCGACGACGGACAATCACTTATATGATAAGCTCCGCTCGATGAAGTCGACAGCGGAGCTAAAAACATTTTAGAAGCCAATAAATTCCAAAAATCAAAATAATTAGATGATTGAAATTTCTTTAGAGCATACCCACCCATTCCAGTAAGCATCCTTAGCTAGCATATATGGATTTCCAATCACAATCAACAGAGCCTTGGCACGAGTGAGAGCAACATTGAAACGCTGAAAAATACAAACAATAGTACCGGTAGTATGTTATAGTAGAAATGGCTGAAAGTAGAATGAGTATCTGTGAGATCATCTACCGGGTATATCAGTTTAAATCATTGGGTATAAGATTCTAATTACTACTATTATCGTTTTTAAATATTCACAAGTCAGTTCAAAACCCTGTTAAAAAGCTGCTAGGTACATCTTCAGAGTGTATTTTAGATTTGGTAAAATTTGAGATGTATTTATTTGGAGAGATTTGTCCAAAATATATTATTCACAACCTTGTTACTGCACAGTCCTAGAGTTTTTGGTTTATGCTCATAAAACATTTGTAACATGGAAATTTAAATTTTAAAAGTTAGTCCAATTTATTTATTAAAAAAATGTGACATTTAGAGTCAATGAAATTCATGATAAACGTGACAAAATGTTTTTTATCTGGAAAACTCCAAAATCAGTCCAAAATGAAACTGCATGTTAACTTTAGGGGGTAACAATGAGGAGAGAGTTTGGAGAGAAGAAAGTAGTTTCACTGATATATTTCCTGCATAATAGTATCCCATAATTTTATAAAACTGACCTTAGGATTTCGCAAAAACCCTAGTTTATAATCAATGTCCATTCGTAGATTTTCTTCATTTGTACTACGTACAGTGGAGATGATAATGACCAATCTTTCTTGGCCCTGAAATTCTTCAACGGATCCAACTTTTATTTCTGACTTGTTCTTATTCTTTAGTACTTTAGCAATTTTCTGCACCTGAAATGAAAAAAATTAACAGTGCTTGCACTAAATCATGAAAGTTGCCTGTAAATTCATTGTTCAATTAAAAAGTACGAAATGATACCGGTAATGACTTTCAATATTTGGATCAACAAAACAAGCTCTGAAATGGATTTTTTAGGTATGGAGTTTGCAGTGTAGTAGTGCAGGCAATCATCCAGACTATATAATGTTTTATAACATCCAGAGTTAGTGGGACCAGCGCAATACAAACGTGACCTTGATAATAGGATTGTGTTCAAATAATAGAAGCTGACATTTTTGGACTAACATTATGCAATTGAAACACAAAGTATTAGAGGGATTACAAAAGAGGCTATAGTTAATATGGGCAGATGATTTGCTGGAGCCGTTGGTAAATTTATGTAATTGATTTTGCTGTGACAATGTATACATGTATGAACAATTATGTGAATATGGTGTTGTGTGTTATAGGAAGTAGGTGATGTCTTAAGTCTTTTGGTTATGTCATTTGAATCAAGAGGGGGAGGTTAAAGTACTTGATCGGAAAGAATGATTATATTTGTTCTTTGGCAGTGAATGACTTATTTGTACTTGACTGTGACCCACTAACCACTCGATTGTAATTTGGCCAGCTGCTATTAGACATCCACTAGCATGACTAGTTGGAAGACAACCATGTAAAAATAGTGTGAATAGAATAAACGTCTGTAATGAACAAGGAAAAAATAAAGTTTTTATTT